GTTTCTCATCCATCAGGACAGGTGTAAGGAGGCAGAGTTTCCAGAAGAACAACCTTGTAGTTTGTCCTCAGCCACAGAAAGAACACAGTTAGTTAGCAAAGTTAGCAAAACCCCCCAAACACTAATGGCTTATGCAGCAGGCACTCCAAAAACCCGAGTGGCTCCTTGGAGGCTTTTGGAAGAACAAGCTGTATTTAGGAAAACAAAAGCCAACGTAAGTACTCACCTGTGGAGGTTCAAAGTTTGGTCTCCACCAGTTACCAATGCAGTCATCGATCACCCAGTCCTGCTGGACGCCATCCTGACGGCCCAGGATCTATCAAATACAGCCATAGTCAAATCTCCAAATACTACAAGCAGAACTGTAGAAAATGCACTCTGGCAGCATGAAGACTTGTTGTAACAAGGGTGTGATGTAATTCAGAGCTATTCTGGAATAGTTTTTAATGTTTGGCTGGTTTTATAACGTGGCTTATTTTGTTTTCATAAAATCCTCACCTGACAGGACAAGGACACTTGAGAAAACATTCTGAATTCCACACTACATTCAGCCAACTGAGTGCCATACGACTGATGGGAAGAACAGCAGTGGCACTGCCTGACAGCAATCGCTTTGGTAAGGTTATTATGTTGGGAAGACTGGCTAAAAAACAAGTCCTCATCCTCACATTGTGCTCAGCAACACATCCTGCTGCACATCTGAAGCCAGCCCATGAAGTAAAGCTGCACATGAACGCAGGACTTGGGGGGAAGTCAGACCTCTGGGTCACACTCTCACCAGGAGGATAAATGAGAGCTTACTGTTACACTTTGCTGTGAGCGACCTGAGAGCATTTTACACTCAAACACAAAAGCATCAAAATGACAAGTGACGAGGAGACTGCTGCAGTTCTTTGGCTATTCTACTGACTAACAGAATTCAACATTCCACAACATTCCAGTATTGCAATGTAACAAAAGAAAACAGACCTCTGTCATTAAGCGTTTGAGCCCTTCTACCTCATCTTCTCCTGGATTGAGTTCACCACCAGGTCTGTTAAAATAATCAATGATTAAAGCTAGAGTGACGGTTTACAGCATTCACAGACTTTCACAGGTTAGTTTGGACATGTTTCTACGCGTGGAGCTACAAATTCACTCAAGGCTCTTGCATCTGAGATTCCAAATCTAACCTTGCCAAATCTGAAGACAGTAGGGCAGCTTTCACCCAGACCATCTCAAATGGCTGCTGTGTGTCCCAAAAAAAAACAAAACAAAGCAAAACAGGCCGATAATAATAAATAACTTCAGTAAGACAAAGTATAACAATATACATAACAATGACTGGGACACTTAAAAGGTAAAGTTTTAACAATAATGTAGAAGCACTGGAGTTGAAGAAGGGGCTGTAAGCACAGCTGTGCTTGTTCCAATCTCAAAAGCAGCACTTAGCGACATGTACAGTAAGCATAAAGCTCAAGTGGGGAATCATCCTGCATTTAATACAAGGATAATGAGAAAACTGAAGATACATTTTTGCCACAGTTGTTAGCAAAGGCAAACAATTTGCCTATTTACATACATGCCCCAAATCAGGAGGTCAAAAAAGAATCTGGATATAAAGATATTTTTCCCCCTCACCTGAGACCAAACACTGGAAATATGAAAAACATAAAACCAAGAATACGAGGAGAATCACCTGTCTCAAGTCTAAGCATTTTAAAATAAGAAAACAAGCACGGCCATCACTACAGTCATATGACCAAAACTTCCTTCCAGCTGTGATCACAGCAGGCTAATTGAAGCACTTCCTTCACACATTCAGATGCCTGCCCTTCTTACTGTGCCCTGCTGGCAGTTTGTGAATTGATAACCATTCTGCATTTACCAGGGTGCATATAAGCGTAGTTGAGCATAAGCTTCCACAGTGTAAGACCAACACCTGACTACCTGCAGGGCTTTCAACAGGAACCTAACCATGCAGTGCAACTAAGTTTCCCAGTGGCTTTAGAACCAAGGCAACTCTCCACTACCCGTGAGCAGAGTCAGATAAATACATTTTAGAGGAAAATGTCATCATTTTAGAAACAGTTCTCACGAACCACGTGCTGGGAACAAATGAATCTCCTTACAAACTAGCAGTCAGCCACATCTGACTTTGCAACACGCACACACGGAGAGGTCTGTGATTGCCTGGTTGGACTAAGAAGGTGCTTGCAAGAAGAGACACTTACAGCTTGAAGAAAGTTGTCCCCAGCTGCAGTAGCAACACGTGGGGCAGTCGGTGCTCGTGCACTATCAGAACCCCTTCCACCGTCCGCCTCATGCCGATTTTGTCAAACTCTTCTCTCATGCGCTGGAACCGAGCAGCCACTGAACTGTCCTTCTCATAAAGGGGTTCCTTTGTGCCAAATGTGTAATTGGTGAGAGGATACCTAAAGGGGAAAAAATATTGCTACACAACCAGAAAGCTAAATTTACATCTCTAGCACACTGTGTTCACCCTGCAGCCAAGCCTTCCGTGCTCGAGCTGAAGCTCACTCACTGCAATGGACTACAAGTTCTGGGTCACACGCGATGCTGCGCAGCCCATGCCATGCCAAGGTCTGCATGATGGCACACGAGGGCAGGAGGTCATGCTGGTGGGACATGCCGCCCTGCTACCGATCCAGAAATAAGCAAAAACACCCAGAAGCACCTGCAGCAAGGGCTGCCACCTGCTTTGACTCCACGGCATGGAGAAAAGGGAGAGAAAACTCTGCTGGGAAGGGAGGAGGCTGTGCAGGACAGTGTTTGTTTCTGCAGGAGCAATAAAGAGCATGAGAACCAGGCTGTTAGGAGGAAATGTTGAGTGTCTGTATGCAGGGCTAGAAGATTGGGGCAAAAATTGCTTGGAGATCCCCCTGATGACTCTGGTCCTGGACCTTCATCTCCAGAGCCAAGGCAGCATTCGAGGGGTTTCTCCAGGCAACAGGGATGGAGTGGAGAAGAAAAAACAGAAGGAAAAAAAAGGAAAACTTAAGGAAGAGATCAGACAGTCCTAAAGGACACACATGGCAACAGGCAAATGCGAGTAACAAGGACCTGATAGCACAGAAATCACAAGTCACTTCCTTGTCAAGGCTGATTCCCACGTACACAAGTGAGACACAACAAGTTTCCTCACTGCAGCACCTTTATAAGCAAACTTCTTTCCTTGCAGTTAAAGCTTGAGAGCACCTATACTGCCACTCATTCCCATTTTTAGATTCCCAGAGAGTCATACCAACAATCCATCGCACTGTGCTGTGGCTGCATCAGGCTGTACATCCAAACTGTTAGCCTACCTTTACAAAAATAACACAAAGTGCAGACAACTCAGCTTCCTGCTGATTTTCCTCTTCAGAAACACTGCAGAAATATTCCAGCCTCTGAAGCTGACATTTAAACTTCCATAATAAGGATCTTAACTGTGAACTAATTTAATCACACTAAACAGTACATACTGCTGAATACCAACTGAATATTGACCACTGCAGCTTGCATCCACTGCTTCTGCAGCCTGACAGGCATATTTATCAAATAAATATAAAAAGTGTTCACTCAGAAACGGAAATAGAACTATGTGCCTTCTCATACAAAGTATTTACAGCTATAGTTTTTAATCTCTAACTGGAAACAAATGTTCTCTGGTAGCAGATGCTGTGAATTTCAACTAAGAGAAGTGTACTGCACACACAGCAAGCACACCTATCCACACGCTGCTCGCCACACATAGGGTGCTTCAAGCCAAAGGGAGCCTGTTCCCCTTGCTGCACAGAGGGGATGCCTGCAAGCTACTCAGAAAAGAAGCCATGATTCCCAATTCTGCTACTGCTCAATAAATTTGGTGCTTGGAGTCCCACATCAGGTGTTGTGCACCACTGAGCCACAGAGTCAGACAGTGGATTGGGTGGGATCTTAGCATCTAGTTGCAGCCCAGCTACAGCGTGCCAGCTTTCTCTTGTCCCTTTAAGCCCTCAGTGAGAGCAGCTCTAGAGAGAAGGACTTGAGGGTTCCAGTGATGAAAAACAAGACATGAGCCAGCAGTGTGTGCCTGCAGCCTGGAGAGCCAACAGAATCCACAGCTGCATCAACAGAGGGATGGCAACATGGGGAGAAAGGGGACTGTTCGCTTCTACTCTGCCTTCATGAGACCCCATTTGGAGTACTGTGTCAGGCCTGGAGCCCCCAGCACCGGAAGGATGCGGAGCTGTTGCAGCAGGTCCACAGGGAGAGTGACTTTTTACGCTCAGATTTTTTACAGGTGGACAGCGATAAGATAAAGGGGAGCGGTTTAAACCTAAAAGAGGGAAAATTCTATATTCAGAGGACGGCGAGGCCCCGGCGCCTCTGCCCAGAGCAGGAGCTGCCCCATTCCTGGAGGTGCCCGAGGCCACGGACAGGGGCCTGGGCAGCCCGAGCCGGAGGGGGCACCCAGCCCACGGCAGTGGGTGCTTCTAGAGGGCAGCGAGGCCCTTTCCAACCCAGCCGTTCCGGGCCATCACGCGTCGCGAACCCCGCCGTTCCCCGCAGGCTGCAACCCCCGCGCGGTGCTTCAGGAGGCGCCTCCCGGCCCTCTCCGCTGGCCGCAGCCCCACCGCCCGCCGCGGCCCTCACAGGTTGATGGTCCTCTCCAGCGTCAGCGGCTTGGTCTGCTGGATGTATTTGTTCCCGAACTGGTTCACCCCGCGGGGCCAGCCGGTCTGCGAGCGGTTGGGCGGCACCACGGACATGGCGGGAGGCGGCAACAACGCTATCCGCCATACAACTCCCGGCGGGCCGCGCTGCCACCGCTCTGCCGGAAGCGCCCCCTCCCACTTCCGGCAGCGCCAACCGCAGAGTCGCTCCGCTCCGTCCCCTCGCGGCGACCCGCCTGACCAACCGCGGGGCGCTCCGCGCCTCGCCCCGCCCTCATCCTGCTCTCTCATTGGTTCGATGCAGCGCGGCCCCGCCTCCCCGCAGGGGCCGCTGGGATTCGTAGTCCAGCGGAGAGCGGCAGTATGGGAGCCAAGCGGCGCGGCGCGGCGGGCGGCCGTAGCGGGGAGAAGCGCGGGCGGCGAGAGGTTGCCGCCGAGCTGTGTGCTGCCCTCGGCGACGCGGCGCTACAGGAGCGGGCGGCAGCGGCTTGGGACGGCGGAGAGCCGCTCCGACACGGTACGGGCTCACGGGTCTCGCGGCTCTCAGCCCGGTGCGGTGCCGCCCGCTGACCGCCGGCTTTGTCCTCGCAGAGGCCGTGGTGGTGGAGCAGGCCCCGTTCCGGCATGGCGTGGTGCGCGGCCTCCTGGCTAGCCCAGCCTTCGCGGCGGCGTTGGGCGACGAGCTGCTGTGCCTGGGCTTCCGAGAGCGGCGGAACGACTTGCTGTCCTTGCGGCAGGTGGGCTGGGCCGGGCTGGGAGCGGGGCTGAGTGCCGTAGAGCCACAGAATCATCACCAGTGACAGAAGCCCCTCAGATCGCCATCTCCGACCCCAGCCCACCCCCACCGTGCCCACGTCCCTCAGTGCCACTTCCCTACAGCTCTGGGACACCTCCAGGGACGGTGACGCCCCCTCCCCGGGCATCTGTGCCACTGCATCACCGCTCATTCAGAGCAGAAATGTTCCCCAATGGCCAACCCGGCCCTCCCCTGGGAGAACATGAGGCCATTGCTCTCACCCTATCGTCACCTGGGAGCAGAGGCTGACCCCTCTCCTCACCACAACCTCCTTTTAGGGGTTGCAGAGCCATGAGGTCTCCCTCACCACCTCCCTCAATGCTTTTCTTCATCTCTCCCTACGCTGCCGCAGTCCGAGGAGCTGGGGGCCAGGCCGGAGCCCCACGTCAGTGCACTGAGGTAAGGCTGCAGGGTCCACGGGGCAGCATGCCCTGGGCCAGCCTCACCCTGCGCTTTGCTCCCCAGGCGGGCGCTGAGCGGGACCCTGCGGGTGTGGCTGGAGGCTGTCACCCACATCGAGCTGGAGCCTTCCATCGACATCTCCTGCGCCAAGTATGAGAGCACAGGTCAGTCTGCCCACCGACCTCCCCGTTCCACACAGCACCACCCAAACCCAAAGTCTGAGATTGTTGTCCCAGCGCTCCTTCGGCTCCAGAGCTCATGGCTGTGCCCACTGCCCTGGGGGGCTGTGCTATGCACGCCACTCACTGAACCACAACCTGTCCCTAATGCCCCCTGACGCTTCCCCATCACTGTGGTCATGCTGCTCGCAGCTGCAGCAGGGCCCAGGGCTGGTGTGACCCCTGCCCTGTGGGCTGCTCTGCCTGGGCTGTCTCACCCCTTGCATGCATGTTGCTATGGCAGGCAGGGAATGCTTGTACTGCTTTTAAGAATTCTGCACAACCAATTGTTGCACTGTGCTCAGGGATTCCCCTTCCCTCCACTGCAGCACAAACATCTTGCAGGGCAGCTGCGTATCAAAGAACAGACCTTGGTTAATCCAGGAATGTCCGCTGTACTCAGTGACAGTCACTGCGGTGGGTGATGGGAATTGTAATTCTGCATCTTCAGAGTGGGCTAATTACAGTGAAATCCCACAGAAATTAACCTTGCTGTGTCAGTGCTGCCCTTCCAAGAACTGCATTTTCACCTCTCAGCATGTTCTTTCTTGTACTCCTGTAGGGAAAAAAAGCTGAGAAGCAGCCACTGAAATTAATTTAGGTTGGATGTCAGGGGGAAGTTCTTTACTATGAGAGTAGTGAGGTGCTGGAACAGCTGCCTAGAGGGGCTGTGGATGCCCCATCCCTAGAGCTGTTCAAGGCCAGATTGGATGGGGCCCTGGGCAGCCTTGTCTGGTATGAAATGTGGAGGTTGGTGGCCCTGCGTGTGGCAGGGGGTTGGAGATTCATGATCCTTGAGATCCCTTCCAACCTTGGCCATTCTGTGATTCTGTGAAAGCTTTACTGTAGCAAAACGTGTGTGTTTGCAGATGTACTGCTGTGCCACGATGATGAGCTGGAAGGCCGGAGAATTGCTTTCATCCTGTACCTCGTGCCGCCCTGGGAGAAAAGCGATGGGGGGACGCTGGACCTCTTTAGCACAGATGGTAAGAGCTCAGCTTCGGGTGGCTGAAAGAGATGACTCCTGTGCAAGCACCCACCCCTTGCAGCATTCTATAAAGAGTATGTCCTTCGTTCAGAGAAGCTGATGTATAGAATAAAATTTGCACCTTGCAGAGGGTGTTGTAAGCCTTTGCAGAGAAAGCCAGTGGGTGACAGCAGAGGGCAATGATGAGGGGAATCCTTTTTTGTTTTCCAAGAAGGCAGGATAGAAGTGATGCCAGTAACTGTGCTTGGGACTTAACAGTGACTGAGATAAAATCCCTTTCCAACAACAGAAGTCTACTGATTTCTCATCAAGCCCTGAGCTCCATCCCTTACACTGAAATGTCCCACCAGTCAGTGTCACAAGGTCAGAACCATCAGCTACTAGTGAGTTCCATATCTTAACCAGATTATGTTTTCTTCCTCCTCAGAACACTTTCAGCCACAGCAAGTCATGAAGTCATTGATGCCTTCGTGGAACACACTGGTTTTCTTTGAAGTGTCTCCAGTCTCTTTCCACCAGGCAAGGAGCTGCTTTTTTTTTTTTTTTTTCTCTCCATTTTTTGATTCTTGTCATTGTTGTGGCTGTTTGTTCTGTGTGCTGTTACAGGTGGGAAGGAGAAAAGGGGAAGGGAGAAACACGTGCAGTCAGAAGAGATGCTCATGCTAAGTGCAGTGTGTTAAAAGCTTGTGACTTTAGGGAGGACAGGAGCTGGCAAAGCCAACTTTAAATTGTCAGCCTAGCTCCATCATCTTGGGGGAAAAAAAAATCCCATCATTACTTCCTAGCACATCTTCAGGTGTTGGCCTTTGTGGTGTACACATCTTTAGCAGATCCCAAATAAAGCTTTGGATGTTCACTGAGCGGAGAATTTGACAGGCATTTCCCTGGTTTCCATTTCCCAAGAGATTTAGGATGCTGCAGCCATTCCTCGTAGCCTAGAGCACCTCAGAATCATGCAAGGAAACAGCTGCTACAGCTTTGTAACAGCAGCAGCTACAACCTGTCCTAGAACTGACTGGTTCTTCCTCCTGTCCTACCAGACAGTTCAAGGAGATAAAAACTGCAATGTCTTCATGTGCTTCAGAACTTCGCAGCAGTTGGTGGCGAGCTCCAACTAGTTGGTCATAAGGGGGTGGCTCTGTCTTTGCACTGCCATTACAGCACAGCACCTGCAATCTGAAATAGTTCAGGGTAGCCCAATTTATGTCAGCGCACGACTTAATGAAATGTTTAAAAAGCAAAAGACAAAAGTTAGATCAATGTAGCCTGCTCTGGCCTACACGCTCATAACGTTTTCTGCATGTCCAGTTGAAGCTGGCACAGCTAATGTTTGCATCTTGTATGTGCCAGTGCTTCAACAGAACAAGTGGTAGAAAATTGAATGTTATTTCTATGACAAAATTACTCAACCCTTGCTTAAGCTCTCAGAGACAGGGAGTGGATTTTGCTGGGAGCATGGGTCTGACTGGGATTTTGAAGATCTGCAAGGGACTTGAGCATCAACATCTGTTTTAGCTCTCCCTCTATGAACAGAGAATAACCCAGCTGCTTGTAGCCCTTGTCTGCCTCTCTGCGAGCTGTAGGCTCTCACGAGGGATGAGTCTGCGTAACCAATTACAGCTGCTCCTTATGTTCTGTATTCTGTATTCACATATCTAAGTGACATTCTTTTCACTGCTGCTTGACGTTGGTCCAGGTGTCAGAGATTCTGTCGGAGGAGAAGTGCCGCCTGTCGGTGAGCGGCTGGTTTCACGGCCCCCCAGTGGAGCGCCCTGCACGCTACCTTGAAGCTCCCTTGCCCAGGAGCCCACATGTCCCTTATGACGTGAGTAGCCAGTGTCTGCAGAACTGCATTTCCATTTCTTTCGTGTCCCTCAAATACCTGTTAGGGTCACTGGTTAGGGGTGCTTTAATCTTTAGCTTGTCCAAGTCTCCTTTTTGATTCCTGTCCATAAATTTGTAGCCAGTTTCCCTCTTACGTATCTTTCGATTGTTTTGTTCTGTTTTGTTTTACTCTGTGCGCTGTGCATGACGGCAGTAGTGCAGAGAGGGCAGCAAATGCTCTCACTGCAACTTAAAAAAAATATATGGAGTGGGTGGGTGGAATCTAGTCCTATGGGCAGCTGGGCGAACAGGAATTGTGGAATTGTTCTTCCTTTTGGAAATGCAGTGTTCACTTCTTTTCCAGCATGAAATCTTGTATGAGTGGGTCAATGTAGTTTATTTGGACATGGACTCCCAAGCTCAAATCCAGGAGGAATTTGAGGAGCGATCAGAAATTCTCCTGAAGGATTTTCTTAAGGTGAGCTCTGTGCTTCCATGCCATGTGGTCACAGGGGTAGTAGTGTCCTCATGACGTGCACAACCTGCTGAAATCCCTTCCAGCCTCAGCCATTCTGTGTTTCTGTGGTGGATAACCACTGCCTGCCTTGACACTGCTGTGCAGGGATACATCAAAACCCATAAGCTTTGTTTCAGCAATCTCATTTCCTGCTAGTAGCAAGGCAGAAGGATGGAAAGATGTCATCCTTCCTGTGATGACCAGAGTGTCTTTATCTGTCCCCTGAGCTCTCACATCTTAGGGGAACTCAACGTGTATGTGAAACAAATGACTCACAGTGATTTTGGCTTACATGAATGGCTGTTTCTCAGGGCTGATTTAACCCTGGTTTACAGAGCATCCATATGTCAGTGAAATTGCATTCTCACCCAGCTGATAATCATGTAGAATTGCATACATACTAGGTCGTGGCCATTAAAAATTCACAGTGCCCACCCAGACCATCTTCTTCTATTCAGCAGTCATTAGGAAACAGGGAAGTTAAAGAAAATGTTGAGAATGCCTTACACAAGAGTGCAGGATGGCTGTTTGCAGTACACTGAGGGAGACCTGGGAGCTAAGTGTTAATGTTCCAGTGCTCTTTCTCTCCTAGAAAGAGAAATTTCAACTTCTGTGCGAAGCTTTGGAGAACAAAGACATCCAGTGGAGCAGTCGGGGGCCTCCCAATAAAAGGTAGGAAATGACAGTCTTGTTCCATTGGTCACACCAAGCAGGAGCTGCCACGAGGCTGCACTGACTGGTGCTGCTCTCATGGACGTGGCTCTCGTCGGTTCTCTGCTGCTGCTATCTGCTGTCTTTTCAGGCTCTATGAAACAGCAGAGGAAGACAGCCTCCCTGACATCCTGAAGAACTTCCTGCAGTTCTTGCGCTCAGAGGCACTGTTTTTATTGCTTTCCAACTTCACTGGTCTAAAGCTGCACTTCCTGGCCCCCTCAGATGAGGATGCTGGGGAAGGAAAAGCAGCAGACAGTGCTGGGCACAGCAGTTCCAAAACCGAGGAGGAAGAGACTGAACAGCGCGCTGATAGCAGTACCCGTCAGCCAGACCAGCCTGACAACATCTCTGAGGCACAAGACAGTGAGACACTGAATGGTAAGTAGGGCAGCAGCAATGTGAAAGGACTTGAGCAGGATCCTGACGTTAAGGTTGTTGGCAGCAGACCCAGAGATTTTCATGGAGCTAGGATTTCACCTTGTACTGCAGTGAGCACAAGGTGCTATCGTATCAGATTTTTAAAGAATGCTCATCTTACAAGTTATTTGACATTAGAAGGAAAGGTAATTAAAACCCAAGACTTATTTTGTACAAAGACTTCGTTGTTTGGTTTGTTTGTTTTTTTATTTCCCCAGCTTGTCTTTTCTGTTGCCATATTCTTCCTGTGTAATTGTAAACTCCTATAGGAGGAGGTCATAGTTTGAGGCTGCACAGATTGAAAACTGACCAGAGACATGAGAACATAAAGACTCCCAAATTCTGATGTACCTACCTGAGAGTTCACAGTGCTGCTTTCCTCCCTGCAGCATCTGGTGTTAGTGTGCTTTCAGAGCAGACAGGTTACTGGCTTTTGAAGGTTGGAGCTCTGGTGTAAATCCCAAAGAAGGGGGAACAAAACAGGAGGAAGAACTGGTTGAATCAAAGCACACTGCCTCTGGGAGGTGTCAGAAAGCAAATCTTGTGTCCATAAGGGCTTAGAGCCCTCTCTAGAAAAGAAGTTCACACTTCTGAGATCTGTTTGACTTGTTCTTCCTTTGCGCTTTGCTGGGGTCAGCAAAGCCAGTATGGGGGCTTCCCTTCACGTGCCTTGAGCTTTGCAGGAGGCTACAGCACATCCTCATGGCTTTGCCTGGCTGCTGGGGTAATCTGCTCCCTCCCATAGGGTCGAGTACCCCGATGTGTGCAGGGGAGCTGCGGCGCTGGACCAAGGGGCACTATACTCTAGTCCATGACAATCAAGCAACTGAATTTGCTCTTGACCTGCTCTTCTACTGTGGCTGTGAAGGTAAGCAGACAACAACAAACAACATCTTCGTCTTCACTCCTGTGGTCCTTACACAAAAGGTTTGGGATTGTGTCCTTGCCTGAGCTGCCTGCCTTGCAGCCAGGAGGTGGCGTGTGGGTTCACTGGGGCAGAGAGAAAGGATGGGGCCCGATGTCTTTGCTCTGCTGGGCGGTGGCTCTGAGCAGGTGGAAGGAGAGATGGCCAGAATTCCTGCTGAAAGCATTCAATTTTGCCTCCTTTCCATCAAAACTATTGCTGCCCCCAGTTCACAAAGCCTGGGGTTTTTTAAAGTTATGTTAGGCGTGTCTAGGCATTTTAGGTTGATTGCTGGGTAGATAATTTCAAAAACAAAAATATAAACATAAGCATTTTGGACTAGATGAGCTGAGAATGCATAGCTGAAACCACCTGGCACGTGATTGTTATTATACAGGAAGTTGGCTATCTGCTAAAGCAAAATTGTGGGCAGCAGAAAGCCAAGCTACCTTAAACGGCCTGTCAGTAATAAAAGACAAAGCTGGTACATTCAATTCAAGTCAATTCTGAGTGTAAAGGTAAAATGATAGAGCAGCAGAAGTTGAACTGGGGGTAGTTCTGCATCCAGTCACTGTACAGAGTGGAGTACAAAAGCTGCATCTCATACAGGAGGGCTGTATGGAGTCTGGACAGCATTCAACTTTCTAAGAATCTTTTTTCTTTCTTTTCTCTTTTAAGACTGGGATCCAGAGTATGGTGGCTTTACTTCCTACATTGCTAAAGGTGAAGATGAAGAGGTAAGGAACTTGGCTGCTAACTGTAAATTAGATAAAAATTAATTGTTTAGGGTGGAGTGGCACAATTACACTTTATCACAGTGCTAACATGAGCTCAAGATGAAGCTGTTACACCAGAGCCTTGTGCCTACCCTCGAGCTTCTGCCTGAGCTGTAACTCCTGGGGGCACAGCTCTGGATTTGGCTTCAAGAGGCGAGTGGTTGCTGACTCCTGTGGGCACAAGGCTGTAGCAGAAATCACTTTTCCAAGGAAAATTCACATCCAGTTGAGCACTAACAAGGCTGCTGAACAGTCACACCAGTGAGAAGTCCAGAATCTCTTCAAGTGAGCCTTGCTATCTCATAAATGCTTCAGGTTATATGTCTCACTTTCTATTAGCGTCCCTTCTGACTGGTTTTTAAGCTGTTTTTCTTCCTAGGAATGTTACCAAGGACACATTTTTGAAACTAACTTCCTTCCTTGTCTCGCCTCTCCCAGCTGTTGACTGTGAATCCAGAGGACAACTGCTTGGCCCTGGTATACAGAGACAAAGAAACGATGAAGTTTGTGAAATACATCAATCATCGCAGCTTGGCACGCCTGAAAAAGCACCCGAGCAGAAGAGGATTTTGGGATTTCTCATTTGTCTATTATGAGTGATGGCACAGTGGCCATCACACACTGAAAATGGTGGTGGTGGCTTTGGGGCAGGGCTGTGTGCAAGTGTTCAGCTGGGCCTGCCTGAGCCCAACCTTCCTGATGCTAACTTGATCATGCTGTATGTGAACTATTCCCTATTTAGGGGGCCCAGTGACTTTTTTATTAAGTGGAAATCATGTCTCCTCCTGACTTGGTTGCACTCTTAGCCACTCGTAATGGTACATGGAGGGTGCCAGCCCCGTGTGACTGACGGCTTCCCAGCCCTTCTCTTGTGGAAGTGAGATGTGTGGGATGAGTCTCTCCTCTGGAAGGGTGAAAACTACAAGCGCGCATGGCCCCAAGTTAATGACTCCTGTGTTGTTTTTGTTTTTTAATAAGAGGTCAGTTAAATCCTTCAAACTGTAGTTGAGCAAGTTCTGTTACAAAATACGCAGGGCATTTTCTGGAATTTAAGTGTGTTCACCTTTTGTAGTGGCAGAAATAAAGGAGCTGCCCAGGGAAATAGGTGTACAGCTCTGTGGAATCATGAAGGAAGAAAGTCAGGCTGTAAAGCTGCTGGCATTGGCAGCCTGGCCTTGGCACTCTAACAGGAGCATGACTTCATTATGCTAAATGCTGTGCAGACAAACCCAGATGGAGCCCTTACTCCTGTGAGTTTACAAGTTAAGCAGTAGATGAAAGAAGAGACCTGCTCCTATATTCTTTGTCTATACTTGAACAGCTCTGTGCTTCAAATCTGAAAGAGCTGTGGCTGCAGTCTCAGATCAGGAGAGGCTGGGCTGGTAGCAGGAACTGCCAACTTGCCTCTTTTGGCTCATTCTCCACAGCAGGAGGGCTGCCAACAGCGCATCCTCTTGTCCATTTCCAGCTCTGTCCTGCAGTCTGCTGGGCTCCGGCGTGGCTTCTGTCACTGCAAATGGGCTGCTCAGATCCTTCCAGCTAACAGGTATCAAAGGAAGATGGCCAGCTGGACAGTAAGCACCATGCTGTAGGCTTGGCCCTGGCATGCATGCACTTGCCTAAAATTTTTCTGCACTCAGGAGAAACACAGGTGTACTTTCAGATCACCCAAGCTGGCCACTGGGTTTGCAGCACACTGGGAATTGTATGCATTTTCATTTCCTCCTGCCTTTTTTTGGTCCCAGAGGGTGAGCTGCTCACAGCCTGCCACCACACCGGTTCCAGGTGCAATGTCACTGGCAACAGAGGTGGTGTGAGAGCACAGCCAGCAGCAGAGCACCAGCAAGCTCCAAGTAAGGCAAGTTGTGTTGGCACAGGCATTGGGGCATGACTTCATGACTGCCTTCTGAAACGGATTAGGAAGCACGTAGGCTTGGGAGATCTACGTGATCTTGTTCATTCTGCCTTGTTTCCCTAAGCTGGCTTCTCTGTGTGCTGCAGACTTTCCTGCACTCTTTTAACATTCCTTTGCTGTTCTAAGCTGCTTACAAAGACAAGGGGATGAACCTAGAAACATGCTGCAAAGAGTGTAGAACTCTTTATGAATTACTAATTTAAGTTAATTTCTGAAGCACTCTCCTCCCATTGTGAGCAACAGCTTTTAGGGGACAAAAACCCTTAACTCTGAGCTGCTACAGCAGAAAAATCCCAGTCACTGGAGTTCTCAAAATCAAAAATGTTTGGGTGGTTTCAAAGAAAGGTTACAGATAGCACAGCCACTCATGGTACAGTCACCTAGGCAAAGCTGGGAGTAAGTTAATAAACAAAAAGAAACAGCATGTTCTTCTGCATCGTCAGCCTCAGAGTGTTTGTTGAGGCTTGGAACAGCCTACCATAAGACTGTGCCTTTTGAAGCTTTCTGCTTTTTAATAATAAATAATGCACTAGAGGGCACACCAGGCCCTACTCGAGCAAGGCGGTTATGGAGCCCATCACGCAGGGAAACACCCTTCTGCCACAGGAGACTGAGATGAAGCAACCTACAAAGCTACATTTGCAGTTAGCATTAAAAGAAAAGAACAGAATGGAGCAGGTAAGCAATTAACATGGCACAGCATGAGCAGCTGAGAGCAGCTTTGTACAAGACAGCCCCAGTTAGCAGCTCAGCCCTGCGAGGATGCATGCGTGGCTGCAGCAGGAAGCCTGCTGCTCTATGCAGGGCACAGCAGCTTCTGTTACCCAAGAGCTGAGTTATTCCAGTGCTTCACAACACATTTCTCAGGATCTGGTTGTTAACAGGACTGGAAACAGAAGCAATTTGATGCGGCTTAACTTGAGACCAGGCTGAGGGAATGATTTCTGCAGTCATAAACACAGAAATAAGTGCTGACACAAGGAATGGACTGCATCAGGATTAGCCGAGGTGAACAGCAATCCCTGGGATTTAGAGAAAGTGTGGCTAACATGAAGTAACCTGTTGCCAGCTGTCAGTCCCCATTGCTTTGTTTGCTCAGCTCCAAACCAGAACCTGAATTAGGTCATGGAAAATCCCTGGTACGCAGCTCCCTGGTGAGGGCACAGATCCAGCACAGCACTGCTGCAGCATGCTGCTCAGGTGCAAAGGGACCCCGTGGGGAAGGCAGATGCCTTTAAGCAGCTTCAGTGCAGGGCAGAATTCCAGGCAGGTGCTGAATGCCACGGAGCACCATGGAGTAAACCTGAGTCCTGAGGCACGGTGCCCTCCAAGCAGCCTTCCCATGAACCTCCAGCAACAAACAGTTCTTGTGTGATTTTGGAGGTTATTCTGTTGTTGACCAGCGGTTTAATGGCTGTAAACAACTCCCCTCCCCTCCCTGAGAGCTGGATACTACGCAACAGCCCTGGAGGACTGACCCTTCCCAGCACAGACTGTTGGCCAATGATTTCTTGGTGCAGGTTCAGCTGGGCACCGTGCTTATGTCAACTTGCTGCTGTGTGCCAGCCAAGGGCTGCTCTATGTCAACATGCCACTGCAAGCCTTGGTGCATCACTTCAGCTTCCTGGATGCAGATTTCACATTTGGCAAAGATGAGAGCTGTTTTTACCGGAAAATAAATGACAAGCTTGTTGTTGGAGGAAATCAGCCGCAGCGCAGGTCTGGACTGTGACCCAGAGACTGACAAGCACTGCAGACAGGCTGCCAAGAGCAAAACAGAGCTGGGACTGGAAGTGCCTGGTGAGCAGCCCTGGAAATTAGGCTGATGGGAAAGCTGCTTTCTGATCACAGGCTCTCTGATCACTGAATGGACTACAGAAATGTTACCAAGCAAGCATTAAGGTTTCAAACATAAAGAGCAAAAGAAGAGCTGGAAACAGTGGGAACAAGTACAGCAAGTGGCAGAAAGCCTGAGACTTGTGCCAGGAGACTGTTCCATAATCAAGGCTTACAGTTTGCTCGCTTAGAACAGCATGGGTGGCTCACCACCGTCCTCATCAAGAAGCTGGATTTGACTAACAACCAGGTTCCTAAAGGATTCAAATGAGCTCCCGCTGCTGATTTGAAGTGACAGAGATCCACGCATTTGGCAGCTCAATTCTTCATTTTGAAAGGCTGAAGCCCTGGCAAGGGACTGTTCTGGAGGCTAGAACACAGTACAAGAATTAATTTTCCCATTCAACTTATTGCCAGTGGCTGCTCTGTGGCAACCAGCATGCTGCTGGGTTTAATTCAGAGTTAGCACGGAAGAGACAGAGCACTTCCACGAGGTGAGTGCAGCCGACAGCCCTGAGAATCTGCCCAAGAACCCCTCTGACAGAGGTGATGGGCTGCCTCCTCCCCACACCACAGAGCAGGCAGGACGAAGGCGCAGGAGCTGGGAGCCGTGGCACACAGCCTCACCCTGTTCAGGGTATTTTTAGCTTCTAGGAGAAGTTTGTTTTGGCAAAGGTTCTGCGCTATCTTCACATCTAACCTACAGCTTCATTGTAATATATAAATCCAATGTAAAAGATCCCACAACTAATAAACAGTTTTGAGCCAGGGGACAAGAAATTTATCAAGACCTCCTGATCCCATTGCATACTGCTAGCTCTTTATTACACACCAAGCCTGGCCGTGTACTTTTTCCTCATTCCTGAAATGCACCCTTGCCCATCCAGCATCTGCAGCTTTATCCAGCAGTACTGCGGACAAGCAGCTGAAAGCAAAGCTCCCTGCAGTGTGGGTGTGAGGAGTGTCAGGTATGAAACCAACTGCTTCCTACCTTCCTACACTGGAACCCAGCAGCTTTCAACCAACTGGCTGCAAAGCCAGCAGTTATCCCTTTGCTGCTTCTGGTGCAGTGGACTGCAATTTACCAAAGCAGCAGCACATCCCTGCAATGAAATCACGGGTTCTCTGATGCAGAATTACACAACTGGGGAGCACAAGCTGACTGCAGAAGTTGGAAGCAAGTTCCAAAAACTTGATTCTGAAGTTAGCAGATTCATGGTCCTGTGTTTGAGATTTCAGTCACCTCCAGGTTCCTTAGCTCCAATGCAAACCCAGTGACAAACCCTGAACACGGCGCGTTCACAGATCTTTGTTTCATCTTTCAGCAAACAACTGTACGCATCACCCCAACTAAATCAGAACAAAAGCAGCCAAACCGGTCTGTATTTTAATGGGAAAACTGATGCCCAACTACAAAATATATTAAAATACACAAATAAGTTACTGTACGAAAAATAAATGCTTCACAGATACACCTCTGCCTTACATAAATTCCTCCCTTGCACTTACATCTGATGCACCATTCAAGAAGCCTCCTGTCCTCTGGCCTGCAGAAATAACATTTCTGGACTGACGCCTTAACTAACATCCAACCTTTGCTATTACCTCACCCTACAGCAGAGCAGGGAATGAATGAGATGCTTGTTGGCTTTGGTCCTACAGCCTGGAAACGTCACCACTACACAACTGCTGTTCCTCTCTCTGGTTGTTTTAAGAAGATGCGACCCCCGAACGCATTATCCTGAACAGTGTGTTGAAGTTGTTGCTTCTTATTGCATCCCGGCAAGCAGCAATCACCTGTGCCTTAGGTTTGCCAACTGCGAAGTGAAAAAACAGAAAAAAATCAGTTAGAAGGAGAAAGAAGTGCTGAAAATAGGTATGAGGCTCAAAACGCAGAGGTCTCAGAACATTTTTAAGCAAACAGTGAAGTGTTTCTTTAAATAAAGCCCTTTCTTGAAAGCATTTTCCATAGCTCTACTACAAGGCAGCTTGAAGGACTTGTTGAAAGGGGAAAGCTACGAATATACAACAAAATGCATCCTTCACCAAAGGCTGACAGAAACAGTAATAATAAAGACTGATGGCTTTGCTTGTGTCGGTAGCTCTTCTTTTTTTATTATTATTTATTTTAACTGAGCTAGCTATAAATGAAGAACTGAAACAAAGCCATTGAGTTCCATACCACCCAGAGAACTGAAAACTGCTTTGAGCTTTCTTCCCAGAACACCGGTCACGTTCCCCACCATGAGCAGCTGGCTGTCTGGGCAGTCAAAGGCCGCTTCTACCACTGAAGCAACCCGGCTGGTGTCTGAGATATCAGCCTCAGTGTGGCTGGGGACTCCCATCCCCCCCAGATGCACACACTCACCACGTAGCCGCCCAGCCCTCTGGATGGCTTGATTCACTGCTTTCAGATTGCTCAACAGCTCCGTGTGATTGTTGCAACGAATTTTGTACTGATTGATCAAATCCCTGTTCAGATCGTACAGCTCGACGTACCGCGTCTTCATGTTTTTCCTGGGGGGACAATCAGCACGGTGAGCTGAATCTCTGGGGACATGACAGCGACTCCTGGCCTGTCCATAGGAAGCTGCAGCAGTGCACAGTTGTAGGGCTGCCACGGTTACCTGCATGACTGCAGCTACAGCACCACAGAGCCGTCTAGACATGCTGGTTAGCCTCATTATTGAACAGGAAAAAAGAAAGAGAGGTCTATCTTGGTAGACTCTTTATGCAGATGCTGCATGCCCCAGTGAAAGTAAAACCAGCCGGCAGGATTCAGACCTCTTTACTGCCGCCCTTGGCAGCCAGGGCAGGAAATGAGCAGAGCACAGGACAGCACAGTGAAGGGCCTGGAACTGAACATTTCAGACTGGGTGTTCTCAAAGGCACACCTACCAGAGACAGCTTTCAGTTCCTCCTCCCCTTACTGAGTCCTTTCTAAGCTCTTACCTTCCCAAGGCCAGTTCAAGGCCAAAACCTGCACTCTTGCCTCCCCTAGGCTTGCCTCCCCCTAAAAAACAGGGCAAGGCTTAATGACAGCTCATGGTAGAACCAGCCAAGGTACCACCCTGCTCAAAGAACTGTAACTGGGCATCCCTCCCACTACACAAATGCTTTTATGCTTTTTTTCCTGCCTGAGAAGCAGACACTGGCTGTTCTACACCCAAAACACACAACATGGCAACTGCTCACATGTCTCCCAGGAGCCGTGCATCTTCTGCCTGAACCAGCATGACGCGGATGAGGTTGGAGTGGTCGGCCATGTCAGCAGTGAGCCGCTGATTCACCGAGTGATGCTCATCCACCTGGCCAAAGCAAACACCCATGAGAAAAGGCCTTCAAGCACTCTGGGAATTGTTTAAGCTACACCCCAATCCCACTATAATAAGAAATAACGTTCCAGCTTAACCAACCCAGGACCATCCTCCTTTCCCTCACCCCCCAGCTGCTGGAGCAGCACCTTTTAGCCTACAAAACGATGCTCAGGATGAGATGCACACCTTACACCCTGACCCAAATCCACAGCTCAGTCTCCCACACAACCTATTTACATTATTCTAAACAGTCAGCTGCTGGGGATCAAAACCCTGCTCCATT